TCTGAAGTTTTTAACGGAGTAAGAGTTGGAGAATATTAGAGATTTGCTCGAAAAACCTAAAGGCTTTCTGGAAGAAGAGAACTGAGACCACGCAACGTCAAAAAGAAAAATCACAAACTGACTGACTGACTGTTGCTTTCACTCATTTTTAATCACCCACATGGATTTAAAGGTAATAAAAAGTGGATAACGGTCGGACCCAGAAGGGCTTTTTGCGAGGTCCTGCTCCACTGACGACAGTAACAGAGAATCAAACTGCATCATGGGAGAAACCAAGCACCCCCCAGGGTTCAATAAAAGACTCAAATGTCTGACGCTACTGTTGGTACAGTTGTGAATTTCAGGCAAATTAGGCAAAAAATACAATACGGCTTTGTTTGCTCCAGGCTTCTGTGTTAATTCCAGTGTTAATTCTGGGTTAATTCCAGACAGAAATTAACCCAATAAATTAACCTTTATTTAATAGCTTTTACATAAATTATTATTACAGTTTAAGTTACGTTGTAGAAGACATTTCTTACCATTGTTTTTATGTAAAGAGAACATAGGAGCACCAGTTGGGTGTGATAAAGATGAAAGCAAAATAAAACAAACAAAAAACTGTTTATTGAATAACATCAAACTGTATATGAGCACTATATATATCTAAGTGTCTTTGTGTGAGATTATATCACTGGATGTAACTAATAATGATAGATTGCAGTGATTTGTGATCTTCCCAGATAGGAAAAGCACAGTAATGGTGTTGAAAGTTTGAAAAAAAAAAAAAAAAACGATACATAAATGTAGAAAATTATAATAATTGACATTCTATTTTTATTAATATGCTACAATTATATTTCAGCCTACTTATAGTAAGTTGAAATATACTACTGTTTCAAATATTTTATTCTGAAGTTTTTAATAGTCTGACTTCAACTCTGTGCCATAGAGCATTTCCATAATTTCTCTTCAGATTTCTTTTTGCATCTGTGCATCATCAGAAAGCTCACAAACCAAGCAACATGTTTTCGTGTAGCTCCTGTTCTCTCTTTACTGTTCCTAGTGTTTTGGAGGAGAACTGCAGTGAGTCAAGAACAGGCAGCGTTTCTCCAATGTTGATCAAATGTCGCATTAAGATGAAGGCGCTAACTAAATCTCCAAGTCCTTTCAGACACCTGCCGTTTATTTTTTTTAAAGCTTCACTAATAATTTTTCCTTCCATCTCGTCACATTTTCTGTTCTTATCCTTTTCCTCTTCCCCTCCACTTTCTGCCTTCATCCAGTGGGCTAAAAACCCAATTTATTTCTGCAGCACAGGAGAGGCTTGTGAGGGTCCCGGGGGGGTTTGCTGTTGTGTTGTCAAGGTAACGCACTGTCAGGGATGTGGCCTCCCGAGCCAGTCCAAAGGGTATTTTTGAATGTATTCACTAATTGAAAAAAGTAGGAAGGCAGAACTGAGAGAGTGAGAAAAAAAGAATAACTCAAAGAGAACGTTGAAAATAGATCAAGAGACGGCAGAGAGAGGAAGGAAAAAAAACGGAATAAGTGAAAAGGTGAGGCTGCAAATACCTCTGCACAGATGGCATCCCCTGCTTGTCAAGTTCGGGGGGAAAGGAATGACCTGCACATATACAGCATCTGTCATTCAGCTCGGTCAAGTGGGCCCGATTGGCTGCCGGCGGTTTCTAATGGTAACAGTCTCCATACCCCTCCTCCTGGTGTGTGTGTGTGCGTGCGTGTGCGTGCGTGTGTGTGTGTGTGTGGGAGGCAGCGCACCTTAGCCCCCTTCGTCGATCTCCAATTGAAGCTCCATCAGGCTTCTCCTATAATTACAGACGCGTCACGTCAGGTGAAGATGCTTCCTCGCCATTTCTGCATTTCAACCTTCCAGTCTCAAAGTTTCTTTTTGCGCCCGCTAAATAAGGCAGCCGGGGAAGCAAATGAAGGAGGAAAGTTGGGGAAATGACTTGCATCCAGTTTTCCATTTCTGTTGCGGTGACTGACAGCTGTCGCAGGTGTGGCGTCAGATGTGTAATCAGGATACTGAGGGGAATTGGGATGCTAAGGATTCCCCACAGGGAGGAGCAGGCAAGGCTTGACAGCAGTCTGAGATCTTCGCTGTCATATTTGTCGATGGGTTTTGGCATCAGCGAGACATTTTATTGTTGTTGTGTATGTATGCAAAGCAGAAGTTGGCTGTGCTTTAGATGTGCAGCACATAGGTGGAACATAGGGCAGTGTTGCATAAAGTTTGCGTGACATGCCCAACAGCAATCAAGGAAGCTTTGGTGGCTTTGAAAAAACTTTTTGGAAAGTGTTTTGTGCCTTTGTAATCCTGGAAACAAAAACTGGCAATAGCCTGTGAAAGAGTTGAGATTCACCATCCATCAGGACAACAAACATTAAAGCTGCAACTTTATTTTTTAAAAAGTATTTTATATATTTATTAAAACTTTCACCACCTCATCTCTCTCCTCCCTGAGCTTCTGTTACGACTGAAGAAATGCATCACTCCTGGTCAAAACCAACCAATCGGAGCCAGGTGGAGGGTCTTAACACAATCAATTAATGCCAGATGTTCTAATGGCAGAGAAATGGCTCAACGCTACAGGAAAACCATTCATCCACTGTTATCTGTGGCCAAGCTAACTAGCTTTAGCATTCATGACAGTCTCAGCAGAGAGCAAGGGGGAGAGGGTGGAGCAGCGTGCACACAGGCATGATTGGGTCCAGGCAGAGGTTGGAGGTAATAGTGTTTTCTCAAGGGACAAACTGAACCGAATCTGATGGCATTCCTCCTGCAGGCCGAAGAGTGACTCGGCCGGCAGCTTTCAGCTTTGCACTGCCCGGCTCTGGATGAAAAAGAGAGAGGAGGAAAAGAGACAGCGCCGTGACTCATTCACATTATCCTCTGAAGTGGAAATCCTTCAAATGTGTCGCACTCGCACATACAGAAACGGGCACGCAGTCGCACACTGGCATGCACACGGCACGTGTGCAACGGGAACCCGGGAGTCCATTCGGAGTGTGTGATGTGCTTTGAGCAGTCGCTCACTTTGAAACATCAGATTCCCACTCAAAAGGAGAAAGCGGAAAATCTCCGACAGGGCAATTAGTCCCAAATCTCAAAACAAGTTCTCTCCATTGCCTGGGTGTTCACAATCACCTGAACAAGGTTAAAAGTAGTTGAACATTTTTTGGCTAATTTCCTGTAAAGAAATCACAAAGCATCGAATGCTGATGTTTAAATGCTACTGATCCCATGAGGCAGGGGCGCTTGCAGGATATTATCTGGTTGTACGCACCAAACAACTCACCTGAACCACAAGAGCACAATCACAACCTTAGCACACGTCATAAGCGTGGTGCACAAAACCAGCAGAAGCCACACAAATACTGACCACATATAGCAAACAGAACAGAAACTTTGCACCGCATAACTAATGGTGATTTCCTGATCCACACGATATGTCACGTACAGCATGTGCCCACAAAACCAGCGACTCTGATCCACACAAGGACCAACATGCACAATGCGACTCACACACACGTATATCTGCATTTTTTACACATTACACCAAACAATGTAGACAGGAAAGTGGATTCCGAGGCTCAAGTAGTGCGTGTGTGCATGTGTGTGTGTGAAACATCATTTCTACTCTCCGGCAAACGTTTTCAAAAGTTTGAATTTGTTAGAAGTCCGCTTGTTTGTTTATGGCCACCCTTATTGCTGCCAAATAAACAAACGTAATCGATAAAATTTAGGTTTAGAACGTGCAAATTGACACCCCACAGACTCACATGTACAGGATGTTTTGACACTAAAGACCATTTTTATTTTTTTCTCCTTATAGTCTTGATGGAAAAGGAAGAAATAATTAAAAGTCCAATACTCAAACGAAAACTCGACAGGCATTCCTCTTTGGAAGAACCTCATTTCTGTGTCAAACCAAAATGATGAGAGGATTTTTTTACTCTGGTCATTTGGTTGTCTGTCCTGGTGTGTCTGACTCAACATAATTTGCCGACCAATCAGTGAGATCAAAGAGGACAATCCTTTTTCTGATAAGGGCAGAGCTAGTTCACTTATGTTGTAGACTTCATATTGTCAGACATTGTGCATCCCATTACTTCTGGCATAAAGCAGAAAGAACTTACCCACAGTCATACATGGTGGTGGAAGAGAAAAAAATCTTTGGTCCTAAATGACTTGTTTAGATTTTTTTCGACAAGAAAGTCCTCATGGAGAACATCTGCAAATCATTTCCTGTCCAAATGTTTAGGTGGGTTTGAGTTACACTGTCTGTAAATGATCCACATAACATCAGCAAGTCCAAAACAAAAGAAGAGGTACTTGACCTAGGCCCTTTGAGCACTGCCTATCTACATTAGTGATTGTTGTGTTGGCTTGCTGTGGTGAATTCCCCCAGTTAGCACTAGCTACAGCTGGGCTAACTATCGTCGAGATCAAAAATTGAAATATCACCTAAACTACTTTTCTATGCCATTCAAACTTTAGTTGTTATGCCGCGGCTGGCTTGGCGTTGTGAGCACGCAGCCAGTGAACCATGATCTCCCATCTACCTTTATGATTGGACGCTCTGCTGCACCTGTGCCTCATATAGACTTCACCCGCTAAACTAATCTCCACTGCCAGCTGTGGTCAACTCGGAGCAGGATACGGATATAAACAGATGTACAGAGATGGTTAATGGCTCGGAACAAACGCAACAGATCACACAGAACAAATCAGCGGCTTGTTTAAGTTTGTTGCATGTAAAGATTTAACTATGGCAGGAAACACAGCTCGGCAGAATACATTAAGTCTGGGTTGAACCTGGTGGATTATTTCAGTGCTATTTTTTTATTTTTTTTTCATATCGAGATATGAATCCGCTGTATTAAAACAATATATTTCTTGTTCTTGTACAGAACTGGTTATTGGGCACAGAGCTGGATTACATCAGCCAAAACAAACTTTTGTTTTTCATCCTTTTCTTCTCTTTATGTCTCCACAGAGATCTGCTGGACATGGACACCTTCTCCAAATCAGACCCAAGTAAGAGACATGATGTCCAAAAACCCCATCAGACTTAATGAATACAAGCTAATTACAAACCAAAAAAAGGCTTCTGATTTACTCTGGGATCTGATTTTAGGAGATGGATCACTGAAATGCTCATCCATCTCCTCAGTGAAATGACTGAAATCTTTATTTGAAAATCTACCTCTTGAGTTGGAGCTTAGAGTTGGCATACAAACCTAAATTTAATCACAAATTAGATTAAGTTGGCCTTGTGACACTGACTACATTTGCTTTAAAGCTGTAAATAACAGAGTCATGCATTCACCTTTATTATGTAGCCTTACCTTTTCATTAAAGTTGTTCTTGGCCAAGATTTTCCATACTTCACAAAAACTCTTCATGTCATTTCCACTGCAGCATTTGTGTCCAACAAGCTTAAGACCGCACAAGAAAAAAAGTTATCACACGATGAACGAGTTGTCAGCACATTTCCAAGAGAACAAGATGGAAGAAGTGAATCATTATGGTGATGATGATGATGATGACAGTGATGAGTCGAGTGCTGGAATGACAGTGATTGTATGTAGTAGTAGAGGACAGGCTTTAACTATATGTTAGGTAGTTCTTGTGATCTTGTGATTCCTCTGAGCACGACTTTAATCCTTTAATTTGAACCTGACTGATGTAGGAAGGGGCCAGAAGGCGAAGAAGGAAGTGGAAAGTATTAAAGTTGGCAGAAAAGCATAGATAACCGGGGTATGTGACCTGCTGATAAAAATATCAGCGACACAAATCAAACGGCTCCGGCTTTCTGGAGGAATTTTAAAAATTAAAAGTCTAAGCTTTTCAAATCCATAGAACATGTTCTGTTTCAGTAATCCAGCTTTATTTAATCTCCAATTAGCTACACGTACTGTTGATATAGCTGTTTGTACTGACTGGTGTTGTTAACGTTAGATGTTTGTCTTCTTTACAGTTTGTGTTCTCTACACACAAGGCATGGGCAACAAGGAGTGGAGAGAGGTCAGTGCGTTTTTTCACAGCATCTTCTTTGCATCTTCTCTTGATGTTTCAAGGTTGCGAATACGTCAATACGACAATAAAGTTTTGTCTTGCATACAGAATAAATTGGCAAATGAGTACTTTCTACCAGCAAAGAGCAATAAATGGAGTACATATTTTTAGGAGCAGCTGATGCTCTGTTGCTGACTTCGTCCAGGAAAGAGTCGCAGCTAAACACAGACTCGGAGTTCTTCATGTGATGAAGAAAAACAAAGAAATGGTATAGTACTTTCCATGAGAGAGACAAAAACTAAGAACACAAGAGCTGATGGAGCCAATTATTTCCAATTCACTCATAAAACATGGATGTACTCGATCTACATACATCTGATTGCGGCGAGACATTTTGAAAAGACACCTGTGTGAACAATCGGTTAGCTTGATTCTCCATGATTTAAAACAAAAGAAAAACTGAACTGAGAGCCCACCATTCTCCATTTACAGCAGGTATTTTACTAATTATAGGTACTCTATAAAACCTGAACTATTCCTTTAAGAAGTGAACAGTCAGGGGGGCAACATATTGACTCATCAAAATATATTTAAATGCAAACGTTTCTTTTTGTGTCCGCTCGGGTTACATTAGTCAAGGCTCTTCTAATGTGCTTAAGCTCTTTAGGCTACGCATGCTCTCATTAGACAAACATTTATCACTTAAAATGATTAAAACCGATCTGCATTCATATTTAACTCGAAATAGCACATCAGGTCAATGTATTCACCAGCCTAATTTGTCTCTCTGTGGTAACTGTTGGCGTCACTTTGCATAAATTATTTTTATTTACCATCTAAGCTGATATCTGTGAAAACGGCAGATGGTCACTTATCAGCGAACCAACCAGGGACACAGGTTGTCTCTGATTTCACTGATATTTTAGGTGTAGCTAATTATGCCTGTCATTGCTCTTTAATTGATAAACACCCTTGACGGCATCTTTAAGAGCATGTTTTCTGAACTGCAGTCATCAGAAAGGTCCACCCCGCAGCCCCCACCTCCACATGAGTATTCACAAATGTAAATCAGAGTTCAAATTCCCACTGCCCCAATCATTCCCGGTTCTTCAGAATTCCGAGTGGCGCGTCATCTGCTTGCTCTATCAACAGGCAAAGTTAAATGTCAAACGCTGACCTGCCTGACCCCCATTGACTGGATACTTAAGCTGCTCTGCATTCATTACACCGTAGCTGCACATAATCTCCCGTAACCAGCGCCTCCCCAGATGCGTCTCCAGAGGAACAGGCTGCGGGTGATGAGGTATTTTACACGAGCCACCGCAACTTCTGGAATGCCTGGAAAAGCCGCGGTTGTTGGAGCGGAGGAATCTCTGAAGTGTTGCGCGAAGATAAAGCGACACCTCATAGATCCTCAGAATGGTTGAGAAAAGCGGCGGAGATGAGGAATGGTCGGACCCTTGAGTTTTCTCCTGACTGCTCTCTCAACGTCTCTCTCATCTCTGCTCTTTATTTCCAGTTTGGGAGAACGGAGGTGATTGACAACACGCTAAACCCAGACTTTGTGAAGAAATTCATACTGGACTACTTCTTTGAAGAGAGACAGAATCTCAGATTTGACTTGTGAGTACAACTTCCTGTGTTTGCTTAACTTTTCAGTGTCTTCTTTTTTGTCTGGTTTTCCTTTTTTTTGTACAGCGACAAGTAAAAGCTTTTGTTCCCCACATTTTGTTATATTTTAGCCACATGCAATATTTCTTTGTACAGTTTTGTGTGATGCGAGTAAATGTCCTGCAAACATCAATTTGAAGGTCTTGCCACGGATTTTCAGTCGGATTCAGAGTCAGGCCCAGACTTTGACGAAACCATTCCACCATATAACCTTTTGATTGTATCTCCGGCTTTAGGCTGGTGACATTTAAACTGGAACTTTTTGTTCTAACTTGAAGTCTGTCATGTTTCTTCTTGCCCGCTGTGTGGTCCCATCAATTCTGACCAAATTTTGAGATTTCTCTTGTTAAAATTGGAAACGTTGCGTTTTACTTTGTGGTCTGTCAAAGAAGAAATTAATAATTGTCTCTCAGACCAACAGAAGGTTTGGTTCTTCCGGGCACTACAGCCTCTTAAAACGCCTTAATTTGCTCTGAAGCTGAATTGGAACAGTTGTCGTTTTTGAACCCAAAAGTGATCTAACAGCTTTCAAAGGTCAGAGTCAACAGATACAAGGCGCTCACCTCTGTATGAAGAAAGCTGCACACCTGCAGAGTGGTTCCGCCCTCCAGTAAAAGGCTCAGGGTTCCTTCAGGGGAGATATTTGTACCACCGCATTACTCAGTGCGGTGAACGGTTGAGTTATTCTTCTCTGGCGGCACAACTTCCATGTTTACAAAAAATCCTGAGGCATCCAGGGCAAAAATAAAAAGCCACCACTGCAGTACAACAACGATGCGTTTGTGTCAGGTTTGACAGGGGGATTTCCTATTAAAGACGTTTTACCACAGAAAGCTCACACACACTGAGGCAAACAGCGTCACGTTTTCAGGAGTTTGCTCTACATCCTTTGCCTATTTTGACCGTTGGATGCTCCAGAAGCATCCTGAATGTTTACTAATGCTCCTCTCATGATGTCCCTCCTTTCAGTCTCTGTTTTTAGGCAGTTCTAGAGAGGGCAAATTGCATTATTTACATTAAAAAAACCTCCCTGCATGGTTACCACATTGGGTTCAAATCAGACTTGTCCTTCCTGGACGCTTAAGGTTTTGAGAGTAGCTTGTAAATAACGTGTGCCCTTTTTCAATTATGAGGCAGAGAGAATCCCTAAGAGAAGAAACTAGTATGCCTCCTCAGGATATCACTTGTAAAAATCCCTTTTTAAAGCAAAGCAGCTGCTTTCTGTTTGATGTATTCAGTCTGTCATGAAGTTATTGATGAATTTTGGTTTAGTGATCTATAAGAATTCAGTTCATTGAGGTTTCCAGACGTCCATGAATAAGTTTAAATATTTGTCCAGCCTTTCTGTTGTGCAATTCGTGGTGTCTTTGAGGTTCCCGCCCTGCTGCAATGACTTGGATCCAGTACGTTTTTCCTGGTTGACAAAAAGCCTTCCACTTGACTTTATATAGATTGCATTTCGACTATGAAAGCTGATTTTGCAGGAGCTTTCATTAAGGAAGGCAGTTTTTGTTCTTGTGAGCGTTTCTATAAATCGTAGTGGTGACTCGTCCAATTGCAACAGTGAGGGATCCAGCAGTGGTTTGTGATTGAACATATTTTCTAGCTGTAGAAGCTCTACGGACGCCCAGCAGAAAACTAAAGTGGATCCTGGAATAGGTTTCTGTAGTGGAAAGGCGTCCAAAGGTAAACCAGCACCAAATCATTACATCTCCACTGCTGTACTTGACTGTTGTTACGAGAGGTTTATGTTGATCCGGCGTGTTTGGTTTGCTCCAAACTTAAAGATGTCATTTTCATCATTCCACTGATGTCATCAGTGTGAAACTGCGTCATTTTCTTGTACTTCAGATTTACTGACTAGATATTTTTGGTTGCAAACATAGACATCTGACATTTCGTTTGTCTTCCTTTGCATACCGATGGGGTTTTAGACGTTTTGAACCTGCCAGCAGCGTCTCTGGGTGATGCCGTTTCTCGTTAATTACATGCAAATTTCAGTTTCTCTTTCACAATTATAAGATTAATTAAATTATCCATAAACCACAGAGGAGCGGCAACAATTTCCACAATCATCATGAAAGTTAGGCCGCGACGAGAAAGAGCGGCTGGGTCTGAGACGGTAGTAAGAAGAAAAAAAAGGCTGTGGGGAAAAATATAGTTTGTGTGGGCAGAATGTTGTGAGAGAATGAAATACGATGAGCATCTTTGGAATGTTGGGTTCACACCTGAAGCCTGGCAGCTCTTAAGAGCATTTCCAATCACAACGCCCAAAATATCCTGAGCCTTTTGCGCAGGTGCTCAGCCAGACCGGCGTAGGATCCCTGCCTTGGCATTTCCACCGAGTCGCTCAGTCACGCTCCGCGCTCACATGTGCAGAAGATGTGTCACCGGGTCACATGGTGGACAGACTCACTCCAAGACGAAACCAAAAGTGATGTGTGCCTCTTGCGCGCGCTCTCCCACATGCGGCGGTGTAGGTATTTGCGTGTGTGCGGCGTAGCAGGTAGCCATAACAACCGGAGTTTCGGGGGATGGTGACTAGAGACGCAGGGAAAGACGGTTTTCCTTCAGGAAAAAACAAAAGGAAGTATTTAACCTTTCATATCGAATCGGCTCCGGTGGACCTCAACGAATCACCAGTCAGTCGATTTACACACAGAAGAAGCCCACGCTGCTACTACTTGGTTTGTTGTGCATGAAATAAAATATCCCTTGCAGCTTTTTTTTGAATGAAACTTGATGTCCTCGCTCCAGAGAGTCTATTTTAGATTTGCTAGTAAGATCACACCAGTTTGCCTCATTGAGGTGGACTGTTACAATTGTCCAGCGAAATATTGTAGTTTTGAGACCATTTTCAATTATAAGAGCACTTTAATTTTGCAAAGAGCACTCAACACTGGAACCGGAAGATATTTTAAGTATCCAAAACAAATATAATCAGGTTTACCACCTCAAATACATTTTTTATAGTTGTTATATAATGTTATGTGGAAAAAAAAACATTTGTGGGTTTTGATAGTTTTTACTAATTAGTCTTTTGGGGAATTGTAGTTTTACTGCATATTTCTTTTTTATTAAAAGCAAATTTGTCCTTCCCACTGTTGCCACATGCATTCTCAGGATGAGGCATTGTAGCAATTTAATTTAATTCAACTGGAATCTTGCTGTACAATGGTAGTAATCTCATTATATATTTAAAAAGTGTTTGAGAAGTTGAATCAAACTCAGCTTGTTGGGCTTTCTTTTTGTCTTTGAATAAGCATATTTTCACCCGGTCGGCCGATTTAAAGAGCTAGTAATTATTAAAGCGGCATTATAAAATACAGTCATCTGAGGATGAAGCGTCTCAGCAAAGCTGTACCAGAGAATCCTGACCGACAGGCTCTCTTGAACCTGACAGACAGAATGATTAGAAACCTGAGGGACTAGAAGAATAGCTTTGAAGACAAAATTGCATTTTGAATCAGTTCTTGAACTTGAAACTGCGTCATTGTGACGGGTAAGAAACGGAGCGAATGGAAAATCGGGAAAACACGCAAGTTGTTGTACTCAGGCCAATTAAAGTTCAGTTAGGGTGTAACAAGCAATAAACTCCTCGCATGATAAATTATAATGAGATTGATAAACTCCATGTGGCAGAGATGCTCTGCTTTAATATTGTTGAGAAGCCGGCGTTCTGAAAAATGCTGCAAACATTTGCAGCACGTAGTTGGTTTGCACTAGCTGCTACTTTTGACTCGTTTTCCCTGTCAAACGTGAGTTATTAGAAATTTATTTTATTTTATTTCTTTTAAAAGCACACAGACTTCACAATCCATTTCAATTATTGTTTTGTTTATTTATTCTGGGTATATAAAATGTTTTTCAGTGGAAAATTTAAAATTTTCAGAGGATGTACTTTGACATAATTACTGCAGTAGTTGAAAATGGGCTCATTATTATTGTTTATTGCAATAATGTCCAGTAAAATGTGCGGTTGTGACAGGCCTACCCACAACAAATAAGTCTCGTCCCTTTGCAGTAATACGGTTAGTTGGGTTAATGTTTGTCTGAATGGAGTCAGTCATCTTCTAACCAAACACAGTAAGTTAGCTTTTTGTAGCTGTGAGAGAATTGCTCATGATGAGTATTCTCAGTGTGTGAGAAATAGGCTTTTCTGTGACTCTCTCTCTGTGCGTGTGTGTGTGTGTGTGTGTGTGTGTGTGTGTGTGTGTGTGTGTGTGTGTGTGTGCGTGTGTGTGTGTGTGTGTGTGTGTGTGTGTGTGTGTGTTCACATGGGGCTCCTGTTTTGTTCGGTTTTCATCAGCAGCTGTATAAAGCTGCCACTGTCGGCCCGTCGAGGGCGACGCTGTCTGAGACGACGGCAGGTGAAAGATGAGCCAATGAGGCTGTTTGAAAATAAAGCAAAGTGACGACGGAAATCACTTTTCACTGATTTATTACGCTGAACTTTATTTCTTTACTTCTTAAATGAACACATTGATCAAACAAAACGAGGCCTTGAAGTAATATTGATATCCTCTGTTCCCTCACCCCAAATTTATGTTGCAGTCGCCGACATTTTTTGTTGCGACGCCATCTCACAATGGTAGTATTCATTCCCTTTTTGTCAATATTGGGTTTTTTTAAGCAAGAAGCCAAATATTACCTTTTGGGTCATAAAAGGCAGACTAATAGTTTATATGGTTCCTCGTATAAAATATTGTTTCAGAACTTAACATCATTTTAACCACCTGCACAACTTTACAACTGACCTTTCTGGTCTGCTCCTTGGTCTTCATAAGTTTTTGTTCACTATTCCCATCCAATAAACCTATAATACAGTTGGTTGCACTTGGTTTTACTCGATAGGATCACAAATCATTTGTGGGCCACACTTTTCAGATTTTCGTTTACAAAAAGTTTGGAGAATGAACGAATCCTTACCCTCTTGTAACGCATTGAACCTTGTGGGTATAGTGGGTCAAAACGTGAAGAAGTTTAAAGCATTTGCCCCAAACAGTAAACATGCTTTACTTGTAAAGTCAGTAAATCTTGCTTTTTTTCCCCCTTGCACACAACACTGCTGTAAACAGCAATATTTTTGTTAACTTATAGCAACAGCAAGCCAACAGTCAGCCCTTGTAAGTGGTCTCTCTGCAGAGAAAAGAAAGAATCTCGTTCTTCCAGCATTGTTTTTCATTTTCTGCTAATGATCTGATCTGGCTCGTGAATGCCTCAGATAAGCAATGAAAGTACATACTTTGTGTCGTGGAGAATCTTAAAAACGCTACTTGGACAAAAGCATTCCTGAGAGATGCGTTCGGGAAGAGGCCTAATCACTTACCTGGGAAATAGGGATGGATAACCAGCTCTCTATGAAAGCTGCAGTTGCATCAAAAATCCTGTCATCATCATTTTCAGCACCTCCATAACAAAACAAAAATTTAATGTTGTCAAAAATCTATAAATCCAGGTTTTGGGGCCTCAACCTTGTCCATACCAATTCAGATTTATAATATCCAAGTATTCTAGCACCAAACATCCAGAACATTTTAAGAAGTAACTAAATGGCTACTTTTTTCCCTTAAGTATTAGCCTGCAAAGGGCGATCCATATTTAGAGCTGAGTGAAATGACCTGAGGTGTGAAATGATCTCAGATTGCTGAGTAAACGGTTTGTCTGATGACCTGCCGTTCCGCAGAGCCTGGGGGAGCGTTTCCAGACAAATGACTCCTGTAAATATTTTGTGCGTAGAGGCTGCCTGGAGGGGAAAACAAGGCAAATCAGACACACTTATAAAAATAATCCACAACGTTCTGTAAAAGTATTCACACACACAAATTTGGAGCCGCTTCAGCAGGCATCATCATTTGGAAATGGTAGCGTTTGAGGCCAACAATGAATCGATTATAAGCCTAGCTTAATTCATCTTTACCATCACTCTTACTGGAGAATAACTTTTTTCTTCAACCATTTTAATAGTTTTATGATTTCACCAACCAACTAAAAATGCTGATTGCTCTCAATACACCAGTGAAACATGGTGGTGGCAGCAACATACCAGGATTTTTTTTTTTTGTGACAAATTGTGGAAAGCTGCAAGGCTTATCGCTACATTTGGCAAGGCAACACAATAAGAGAATGACAGACTCATTAACGTCCCCGAATCAGCCTTACACATCCTAAAGCACTCATCTTTTCACAGTCCTGTGTGTGAATAATCATTTATTTGGTGTCAGTTTAATGGGGAAGAGTTGCAACGCTGACACGCTGGGATGCAGAATACCCAGAGCTTACAGCGAGGTGTTCATTGACGAGCTGTTGGGTCCTGTTGCCTGTAATCAGCATCGGTCCCAACTGAGATCCTGCCACTCCGCATCTATCGGGAACGAGCTGACCCTCCTTTTTTCCTTTATTTCCACAGGTACGATGTTGACTCAAAGAGTGCCAACCTGCAGAAGCATGTGAGTCCTTCTCTGAATCTTCCTTTCTCACTTTGTGCTCGTGTGTGTGAGTGTATACTTGTGCGCGTCTTCCTCCCATTTGGACCATTTTAGCCACAAAATAGCAATCTGGCCACTACTACTACTGGACTGATTATCGACTGAACTTGCACGGTCTCGGAGCAGGCTGTGGGTCATTTAGAAATTAAATTTGTCCACCCTGCTTCTTACCATTGATGCCAGTGATTACAACAGCTGTAATTAGTAACAGAGGCGTCCTTCGCAGGTAATAACAGCTATTACCCGCCCGCTGCTTTCAGGGCATTCTAGTTCAAAGGACCGGAGGCAGCGCGGACGTTGCACTGTCATGTTTATTTTCCATTGGCTGAGGAAAGTCTTGTCTATTTTTCTGGATAAATACTCTAAGTTATCACATACAAGTTATGTAGGTATGATTTGATTCCCACTGAGAGCCACAATAGACTGGTAGAAAGCAATTTCTATCAGTCGGGATCATCCGAATTCATGGATGTTTTTCTATGGTGCTGAGAACAAATATTCCCATCATCCCTTACAGTTAAAATGTTAAACATCAAAGATAATTTTAGTAAATCTAAATCATAAAAAGCTAATTGCTGACTAACAATTCTTGTGAAAACTACGACCACGTGTTGTTTTTGAGCATGAATGTCTTGTCAATGGTCTACTCTTGCTATATAACATCTGAAATGGATTCAACTCCATACTTTGACTTAAAGTGTGGACTTTGACTAGGCCGATTTTCAATTTTTATTAATTTTTGTTTCATTTTTACATTTCAGCTAATTAGATTTTGACTTGCTGTTATGCTTTCGATCAGTCCGCCGATGCTTTTACCCAAACTCCTGTAATCCTGCGTTTGCAATATCACCGAATGTTGTGGATATTTGCGAGTGGAGGCTAATGGGCTCAATGTGTCTCTCGATGTTGCCTCTCGGAAGGTGCAGACAGCCAGTTTTGCTTTGCCCCAAGGCAGCACACCACACAGCTCTCATCCTTTCTTGCTTTTAAGTGTCCGGGCCCGCCGCGCTGCCCACATAACACATGAGATGGATGCTCAGGTGTGACTGTTGCCTGCTTTTAGAAAGTGTGGATTATTGGAAGAGACATAAAATGAAGCTGAGAAAAAGGGAGGAGATCACAGTCTAGCCTCCAGCTCCGCGTTGTGTATTTTAGGAAAGCTGAGTTGCTTTTATGAGATCTTGTTTATTTGATAAAGACCAAAACTTGAGTGCAGACATTTGATCATTTTGCTAACATCAAAGAGTTGTGGTTGAGCCCTCTCATGTTGTGCATGCATTTTCATATTCATTTGGGACTTTCTGTGTTTTTATACATACATTTCTTTCCTTTTTTCTTCTTTTTGGAAGCCCAGGCAACCACTAGCTTATGATGGACTTTACAAAGTCCGCACAGTCTCTGACAGTCGACTGTATTCTGAGACGTAGCTTTTGAAGTAATCACCTGCCTTGAATGTAAAAATATTTATGACTGTGTTTGCATCAAAAATTGCATGAAAATAAAAAGAGTTTTCATCACCTTAAGCCAGGATGATGCAGGTCTGCCTCTCTGCAGGTTGCTATATTGCACCATCATATGTCTTCAGTAGCAGGAATCCACAAGGGGGCTTTCATATTGGTTAGCTTTGTTTTATGGTTTTAGAGGTTTCTCTTCCACTTTGAGGCAAACAGTCACTGTCCTGCTGCTACACACAGACTTTTAAAAAAAGAGGTGAATTGGGTGAAGGGGTTTTGTTGAATAAATGTGACTTTGAATAAACTAAAAATCATGTTATGTTATTCTGCAATTGAAAAAACTGCAAAGAGATCAGTCAGGACAGGATGATGGACTTAATGATATGCAGATCCTGGTTTCTTTTGGTTAAATGTGTTATTGTTAATTTATTATATTTCTCAAACTTTAATGTAGTTTACTTACCTATTTATGACCAACACTATGAAAGTAATGGAAACTAAAGACAGAGCTTACCAACAAATAAAGAAAAATGCATTTAAAACTGGGTTAGTTCTCTCCTTACTGTAAGAACAACCCCATTGCCACAACGCTTTTCAGATTTATTCACTTCTCACAACTTTGAACATCTTTGTGTTGGTTTACCTCACAGCCCTGCCGCAACCACAAACATACTCCAATGTTTGTGCCAAAAAGTGTTTTAATAGATTGCATGGTGACGCTGTAAATCCCCACCACATAGCAAGATTAGAATGGTTCTCCATAACTTGGCCTTTTGTAAACCTTTTTTCCCCTCTCTGTCCTCGTTTCTTTCTTCAGTCTTACCCACTGGACTAAAATCAATAGCCTCATATAAGTGGAGACATGCACATTGACTCTGAGGCAGCTTACCATCTTTACAGCCTTGATGCAGATCCCAGAGGGAAAGCCAGAGAGCCCGGCCATTAGATGGTGTGTTTTATCTTAGGAAGGACAGTCTGCCGGGCTGTCTCAGTCATAACGGTGGCAGAACTGGTCTAATATCCACACGAAGGAAAGGAGGAATGAAACATCAATCATGGGTGCTACATAGTTTACACCCATGATTGAAGATGGATATGAAACACAAACAAATCCTCTATTGGTTAGAGTTTCAATACTTTATTCTGATGTTTTTCGCTGGTGTTCTGACTTTTTGTTGCACCTTTGTCATCCAGAGAAACCCAATGTTTTCTCCTACAAATCCTAGAAGTCGTTTTGTTTCCTGCTGGTTTGTGTTTTGCTGCCTTCAGACCGGCGAGGTGCCTTCTGCGCCAACAGACTGCAAGTTAAAAATCTTAGACTGCAGATGGCTATGTTGATCTGTGTCGTGACCTCTGAGATTTACAAGCTGGAGGCGAATGCACTGCTTGAGCTTGGTGCGCTCACCACATTCGCAGCACTGAACAAGGAAAGCCAGTTGCTGTGAAAAAAATCAGATGGAACGGCTCAATAGTTTAACTGCTGAACATACAAGGTTTTTTTTTTTAATCCGTCCCAAATTAATGTAATCTTAAATGTTAGCAATGTATACAAAAAATATATTCGTATTGGAGAAAGTTGGAACCATCTACAGAATGGCACAGGATGTTTTTTTTTTTGTATTCATCCCCTAACTTATACTTTAGATAAGTTTTCTTTTGTCTTCATGCTGTTAATAGTAGCCAGGAATACTGATCAACCAATGAATCAATGTTCCAAACACCAAAGTTTTTATGTAAGGATCACCTGAGACGCACTCGGATGATCTCCGGTCCACACACCGGGAGACCACTAACACTATTTGGCTGGGTCTTTGTAGTTGAAGTAGGTCTTATTTGTCATTTTGTTCTAGTCAATTTTCAGTTTGACGTTTCAGATTGTTTTGTCTTTTTGTCAAAAACGCCACGTCAAAAAGTGTTGATCATGGTGAATTGATAAAAAGCAATAAAAATGGAAAAACATCCAAAGGGGGTGAATACTTTCAATAATACAACAGTATAATGTGTGCTGTGAACCCTGCAAAGTAACTTTGCTTGTTGTGGGTGACTGCTAAATAATTAAGTTTTAATTTCTTAAAGCTGTAAAATAATTTGGTGAAAATGTAAACTTGTTTTTCAAAGCTTAACTGACAGGCGCAAAACTGAAACCCTTCAGCGAAACACGGTATCTAAGTTAAAGGAGATGCTTTTTATCAAAGTTTCTTTATTGTTTGGACAATTTTTTCTTTTTTTTATGTATATTGCAGCGTTCATTCTGTTGAACTTTCTTTGCTTTATATATCATTATTAATCCAGATGATTGGAGCCAAAATAGCTTTTCTTCCAACTTTATTTCCCCAACCAGTTCTGCGATTTGTTGCATTTAGCCATTATCAGCACACAGCCGGTCCTCTGATGGACCCCTTGCTGGCAGCCGCTGCGGTTGTTCGGTGGCTTGTTATTTCTCTTCAAAGACAAAGGGGGAAAATATAAAACACATTTTCAAATATGATTTTATTTTATCTAGAAAATGTAAGAAATTGTTCTTATGATGATGGAGATCCAAAAATAATAATAATTATAAAAAAGCTGGGAGGAGATGCTAATGAGTATAGCAAACGAGACCGTTATGTTGGTGTTGCTCGGAGATGTTCTGAGCTAAAATTAGACGCATTTTACTAAAATGACAAATGGCTTTACGTCTTGGTTTAAAAAAATAAAAGATGGGGTGGGGGTAAATCAGACAATTTTACATTTTAAAATGTTTGTTTTAATGAAACCTACAAATGTGAAATTAAGACTCAACTGGGCATAATTTCCATATGTATATTTGGTACGGTACTGGGTATGTTTCCATAAATTAGAATGTAGAACTTGAGAACTAAATTTAGTTTTCAGACGTTCAGTTCAGTAAGTGCATCTCCTACCATATCTAGTTTCATTACACAGTGACTGATGCTCTATTGAGGGAAAGCAACAAAACTTGGGCACTGAGAGACTTGTGTCCAAGCAGTTTGAACCAGAAAGTTGAGTGGAAGGGAAAAAAATTACAAAAAAAGGGGCACTAAACTCTATTTAAGTTTTTTATTTTATTTTTGTGCTGAACTGTTGAAATAACACTTTAATATGTGATAAAATGCCATCTGTGTTTGTACAATTTATGCCAATATTCACTTGCTCTTTGCTTCCACAGGACTTCCTGGGCCAGGCCTACTGCACCCTGGGAGAGGTGGTTGGATCGCAGGGCAGTCGCTTGGAAAAACCTCTTGGGTGAGTCGATTTAGCAGGAAACGACAGTATCGGTTCTGGTCTCACCATTGGTGATTGATGGTTACTGTGTACATCAGAAGAGTCTGTCAATCGCACTTTACTTGTGAAAGACGAAAACCTCCAAAGTATTTTGGATTTCATCCTTACTTGACAGCATAGTATATGTCCATCCGCTTTATTAATGCGCAACACACAGAACAACAAGGTGACTGGTTGAGAGGAATTCATCCGTGATTCCATCATCAGTGTGATAAGAAAGTGGCTGAAAATGTTCCTATCAGGGAAGTAGATCTCTTTTGAGCTCTAGTTTGTGCACATTAATTTCTGTGAGAAGAACACGGAGTTCTGATCATGTTCTATAATTGGACTTTTTTCAGCGCGTTGTGTTCTTGGCTGCTGTTTCTGGGGAAACTGAGGTAAAAAGTACAGAGTTACAGAAGCTGCTAATTAAAAATATGCACTTGCGTGCACATACTTGATACAAATATAGATTTTTTTCTTCTTCTTTGCAATCAAAACTGAACACTTATTATTTTAGTGGCACTAACTTTGCATCCTTTATTTGTAAACCAAAGTGCTGGGAACAGATTCTGATGGTGCTAAATGCCCTTTTTTGTGCATTATTGTTCTAAAATTTTGAATTTAAACTTTGATATTAATAAAAAAGTATTCAGTCAGTATATGGCATATTAATGCTGCTACTTTGCGAAACTAATCATCATTAATTTTGGGATCAGAAGAAGTGAATCAAATTGTAATTAAATGCAAACAGTGTAATTGTGCTCAATTGTATAGACAGATTCAAAATTTGATTCTGATTGAATTTGTCAGTTTTATGTCAATTTTCACAGAATTGGACTAACATATTCAATTCTGTGAAATAAGAATGGAGTCTGTTTAAAATTTGATGGACTCTATGTTCATTTTAATCGCCTTGAAGTTAAATGTTTTCAGCTGCATTAACTGTAAAATGTAATGCAATTTAATGACACAGAAATGCAATGACGGCTACAATGGCTCTTGCTAAGAACAGTCATTTGCTAACGAGCATCAATTGACTTCTAATCCACTTTACCAATCTTTCATTTCAGACAACACTGAGTTATTTATTTTTTTGTTTGGAACATTCTACAAGGTTGGCTTCGAAAGGCAGAGGGACGTCTGCACAATCTCTTCTAATCAAACACGTGGAGCTTAAGGCTCGTGAGATTGTTTTAATATCTGTTATTAATCATCTGCCAATATGTTGCTCATGAAACTCGTTTTTCATATTGCACCGCAACGGTGAGTCAAAATGAAATTGCACAAGCTTGTGAGGGAGTGAGATGCATCATGGAAACTTCTGGCACTTTCTGCGTCACGGTGACCTCTGTTATGTTGAGCTTAATAAGGTTATACGAAGCTGGAAAATGATGATACTTGATGGAAAATTTTCCATCAAGTATCATCATGATGGTACTTGATGTAAAAACATTCATGGCGAAGTGAATTATTTTACCCTTCACTCTGGAGAACAGACTTCAACTCTTCGTCGTTTGTAATTTGTCGAAGTGTGTTGTTAGAGAATCTTTGTTTTTGATTACTGACAGAAACACTGGCTCATTGCAGCAACACAAAACGCTAAATGAGTTTCATCAGGAGTAATTTGCTCTCGTCAAGAAATTGGCTTTGTTTTATAATTTGAGCTTATTTGAGCTTTGTTGCTCACTTAAAGCTTAGAGTTGATCGTAACTTCATTTTGCTGAAGGAGTTATGGGTTCAGAGTGCAAAATGTGGCATCCCTGATGGATGCTTTCGGAAAACCTTTCTCTTCCTCCTCCGTTTCCTCCTCCTCCTCACGCTCCATCACAATTTATGAAACTGAATTAGTAAAACAAAGGAGGGACTTGAAACTTATAAAATTGTACACATTTTGTTGGGACTTCTCCAGCTTCTCCAAAGTTATCATGAGCATCTTGACTGCTTCTTTAATGTTGGAATAAAAGGAGGAAGCACACGTTTTTATTTTTATTTGTAAAATAAACTACTCATCATTTTCATATCATTTCACAATTATATGAGTTCATCAATGGCATAAAATCCAACTACCAATTTCAAAGACACTGAACTTTGCTGTGGTTTAAAAAAATTGTTAAAATTACACAATTCCCCTTCAACAAACATCTTAAACTACCTTACAGTAAGAGAATTCAACATATGAAATGTGTTTTTAGTATGCATGGCTTTCATCTTATTTTTTTTTTGTTCCAATTTAGCTGTCTGCTACTATTAACTACTTTTATTTCTCCAAAATCTCTGCTAATTGTCCTGTGTATGACAGTCTTATAATTATGCATCATGACAGGGAGGCAAAGTACAAAAAAGTAAAATATCAAAGTTGGAAACGTTTACATTGCGTTTCTCGTGTCACGTACTGCTGGTGAGAGAGAGAGAGAGAAAAAAAACTGAATTAAATAAGTTTATTAAATTCAAGTTTGATTTGTGCAGAATCAAAAGAAACTGAGACACAAAGCCGACAGCTGTTGCAGTTGTCGTTTCACAGACATCGTGTCTGTATAGATGTGTCTGTTAGACTTCTGCAGACGCTCACCTGCAGCCAGTCACTGGGGAGGATCTTTAACAATTTTAATAAGGGCTAATTATAACTAATTACATTGTTCAATCAAAATCCAGTAGGGCTTGAGGTGCGTGTGTGAATGTGCGTGTGAGAGAGAAAGAGAGAGCAAGTGAAAGAAAGAGAGCGACTGAAGACAACTGAAGACAAAAGACAGGACACACTGGGTAAAGTGTCTCATTGCACTCTGCTGCCAAGGCATGACAACCGGTAGTGAAACCACCACTGACGGTTTGAGGGTTTTTACACAAAAATGTAGAACGCAAATGAATCGCATTTGAAATGCTACTAATTCCTATTAATATTTTATTTAAAAAGTTCAAATCTGTGACATTATTCTGTGTTTTAAATTTACTGTCTAATAGTCAGGCTACCTGTTCAGGTAGCCAGTGACACTGTTGTTCAAATATTGTTACAAAGACCCAAAAGATACATGAATTAATCTCAATGCAACACTATGCGAATGCTCTGTCTGCACTGGTGAAGACAGAGCAGACAGAGCTCTGGTGAAGACAGAGCTCTGGTGACAGATGCATTTTTAGACAAACTGATAGAGAGGATGCAATTGACAGAAGGGAAATGTCTTCATCTGTAACTAAGCTGAAAATTATATGAACACCTTTGACAATGTTTAAAGAGCAGTACACTTTATTAGCATATGTTTTAAAAAGCTCTAGAAAAGAGCTAGAACTTTTCTACAAAAGGTGAAAAGTTAGTTATACTGCATCAATGTATGTGGTTGACGCAATACAATACGTTCTACGTTTTACAATCCTCATCCCAATAAACACACACTCTGCTAAACAGGCACATCAAAAGCAACATTCATCTGTCAAAAATATCACCAGGTTTGATCTTTCACCAAATGTGCTACATTTCTTCACTTCAGACTCTTAAACTGCCTTTTTAATGACGAAATACTTGCTTCCTGGTTTTAGATTTTCCGTTGCTGTTGCATTTTGAACATGAGAGTTTATTTTTGTTGTTGATCGCAGGCAGATCCAAAAGGAAGGTCTCTTAAAAACAATTTTAAAAAAGCCCACATCTTTGCTTTGCATCAGTTACAGACAAAAGGTAAAAACAGGTGTAAGCCCATTGCAGCAGCTGCAGCATAAGATGCCACCAGACTCTGAAACGCTGTCAGAAAAGACTCCACCAGTCCAAGTGCCCTGCTGCATCAGCCAGTTCACGTAATTTTACATTAGTGCAGAGAGATTGTTTGATTCCAATTGCAGAAGATTGTCTAAATTTCTGTAGAGTCTTTGCAACAGGCGACCAATCTGTCTGATCGTCTGATTCTATTTAAATAAGAAGTTGTGCTCATTTTGTCCCCTTGCAGTGTTCGTCGTTTCACACACAACTTTTTGTGCCACTAAGTTGTACCTTCTGCCGTAGAACATTTCCCATCAACCATGGTTCCGCTTGTACTCTCCAGCGTCACATTTTATATGCGCTTTGACAACTTAGGATTCAAAGTAACTTTTTACATTTGACTAAAAGTATTCAACAGAGAAAGCTATTATGTCAGTATTTGATCACTTTATCCTGGTGTTATAATAATTTCACAAGTCAGCTAGACTAAAGGGAATTTACGGCTTCCACATACTTCATTCAAAGTGCTGAAATCGGCTTTCGTTGATGCAGACAAAAACTGCATCATTTTGTTCGCAGATAGACGTCCACCTCTACTCTACTTCTGGCGACACAAAATAATAAATGTATTTCACCCAGAGGTCTGTGTGAAGTTTTGTGTAATAAGCCGGAAGTTTGTTGCATTTTTTTATACGCCCTCCAATGAACTTGTTGATATTTTGCTTAGCTCTCACCATCTGTTTTTTTTTTGTATCTGCAGGAGATATGAATATCTCTGATCTGACGTGGTGAGAAATTTCATGCATTCGTATTTTTAATTACAAGATTGTCAAATGGCTAAGAACTCCTGGATGGAAATTGCAACATCGTCGTCCATGGAGGAGCTGTCGGCAGGAGAGTGTGACGCTCTTTCTCTGTGACTCTGAGGGAGGAGGAACCGCGTTGGGTTAGAGTTGTGATGCGTTCGGATGAAGTATGTGGGATGATTTAGTTGTGTACTATATGTAAATTGTTGGATTGCACAGTTGAGCAGTTGGGAATGTCAGCAACTCAACCAGCAAGTGACATGTGTGATTACAGAGCTGAATGGGTGTGGAGGTAGAGAGCCTCACAGACTTTCTGCACAGTCATCGCTACATGATGATGGTACAAATTAGCTCAAAAACCATCAGCATTAAGCTTTATGTAATAATACATTTTAGTCAACAAATTTGGATCAAACACATTAGCAATTGAAAGGTATAGGTGATCGCAGTGAGTCTTTAAATAGTGTAGTGTTTGGATTTGAACAGAG